AAAGTTGAAGTTGTAGTGCATGTTGTGCAAGTTAAAGTTAAATTATCTAAAAATCACGAGTTGAGACGAAAAATTGATTATGCGTTAAAAGTTACGGTTGAGAAACACAACAAACACGCGGAGATGAAAGATGCCGACGACCAGTGGAATTCTCAGAAAAAAAAGGGTGGAAACTTCTCGAAATAAAGGGGCTCTTTTAAGGAGCTGGTAAGGAATTTTAGGGGGAGAATGTCCAAAATGCGCTACCGCTTAAGGGGCTAAAGAAAGATGATGAAATAAAAGAATGTATTACAAAATTAAAAGAATTAGTATTATTATTAAAAAAAACAGGATATTTATAAATTAGGCTGTGACCTAATGTCACAATTTTTATCAGAAATTAAATTTATAATTGATTTTCTGAATTCTATATTTCAATATTCTGAAATAAAAAACGCGAATTTGTAAATAAAATTTTTTTATTTCAGAAACAATTTTTTTCTTTTTTTAAATCAGCAGTGGGGACAAGTGAGGGAATGACATATTGGTATATTTAAATTACCTAAAATAAATAAAAAGTGATAATTTTATTTTTATTCTTTTGTTAGCTTGCATTCTGAGGAAACTTTCCCTGAATTTTTTTTTTCGTAAGTTGTAAAACAAACAAAATATACTGGGAACATGAAAATGACTGTTTTTGTGAGAATGACCCATATATATGTGTGTGTATACAAACAATGCTCACAAAAGGACACAAGTTATCCCTTTTTTATTCAGAGTCTCAACAGATGTTGTTCAAGGCATGCTGAGTGAGATGTGAGAGGACTTTAAAAAAAGAAATTGAATTGGCACTTTTTTCACTTTAAAGTACAAAATATCTAGTTTTAAAAAAATAATAAGAGTTTTAGGAAATTAACGTTAATGGAGAAAAAATATGTAATTAAAATAGGTGGAAAAAAATCAAATCAAAGGAATATTCAGAGATGATTGTGCTCCGGAAATCCAAAGTCCAGAAGTTTACAGAAATCATCTATCACATTTTGTATAAAAATTCTTGTATATTTTATTTAGAATATTAGAACTAGAATTTAATACTTGGCAACTCTTTCATTTGTCAATATTTTTTCTGGTAGAATAATAAATGTGATTAGAGATAAAAGTAAACTAAATACATAATTATAAATTTAAATTATGCTGCATATAATATATATAGAATTTCACGTTGTGAAAATATCAATGATTTAAAATTATAAAGACATTAATTTTTTGAAATGCGTCATTAATGATATTACTCAGGAAATTTTCAGGATTTTTTAATTGGGCTCACAATCACCCCTGAATATTAGAGTTATTGTGAATCGACTGTGTAAGACAAAAATTAAACATTGACTAAATTCAACTATTCAGAAAAATGAGATTTTTTTGTATGTATCCATGACAAATTATTTGCCAAGTTCTGTGAAAAAAAACATCACAGGAGGCCATAGTCATCTCACAATATAAATATTTTTTTTGAATTTTAAATGCATTGAGAAGGTCCCCAAGAGTTAAAAGTAAGTTTTAATATACTAATTTCAGAGAATATTTAATAACTAATCAAATGATTCAAACATTTGGGAAGTTGCAGTGACCAATACAAAATTGCCCCATACATATGAATTATTAAACTTCAAGCATGGACCAATAAATATATTTTAACCTAGTCCATCAATACCTCTAAAACTATCCATTCAATTCTATTTTATTTTATAAACAAAATCGACTCAAATAGCACATTGCATAACTCAGCAGTGGTCCATGAAACTAAATTTTATGAAATGATGAGCGAGTTTCTTTTATGGGACTAAAATTTTCAATGAGTGTCAAGTCGGCCACCAGCAGCAGGGAAGTGCTTACTTTTAGTGGCCCTGAGCAAAACATAAAATCATTTTATCAGAGTTTATTAAAATCGTGTTTTATTTTAAAATATATATATTGAGCATTGGATTTTTTTTATGTCGATCAGTTTTTAAAAAAAAATTCTTTTCTCGTTTCACGAACAAAACTCCAATAAAATGTATAAATAATGCTTAATATTATTTGACAACAATATTGCAACTAAAATTTTTCTAATAATAAAAAGGTTAATATTATTTAATTATGACAAACTAATCACTGAATAAGTGAAGTCAGTTACTTTTTTCTATCTAACTCAAAACCTTAATGAATAGTNCATTTTATCAGAGTTTATTAAAATCGTGTTTTATTTTAAAATATATATATTGAGCATTGGATTTTTTTTATGTCAATCAGTTTTTTAAAAAACTCCAATAAAATGTATAAATAATGCTTAATATTATTTGACAGCAATATTGCAACTAAAATTTTTCTAATAATAAAAAGGTTAATATTATATTTAATTATGACAAAGTAATCACTGAATAAGTGAAGTCAGTTACTTTTTTCTATCTAACTCAAAACCTTAATGAATTGTTAAGACAGAATCAATTGGTCAAATTAAAAGTAGATTAATTTAGATCAGAAAACATTTTTAAATTAAATTATTCTTCGCAGAACAAGTCTTTATTCATTCTTTAATTGCAAGTATCTATTAATTACGTATTTAATAAGATTTAAAATTACTTGTATTAAAATAAATATGCATCAAATTAAATGAGTCTGATAGTAAACTAGCAAATTATTTTGCATACAATGAGCACATAAAAATATGAAAATGATATGAAAAGAATAATGAAATATTTTCATTTAAATATTACATTCTTATCTACATTTAAGTTCTTGAACAGAAAAAAAAAACCTTATTTTGTTTTTTAATTACTTTAACCCATTCCTCATTGTAAGAATAAAACATTTATTATCAATAAGATTTGATATCAGTGATTTACTATCACAACTTTAAGTATATGTATATTAGATAATGCAGTATGGTAAAAATAATAATTTCTTCATAAATCTATGATTTAAAAAAATAGTGAATCATATAAATCAATCATTTTTTAAGTAAAATGTTTTTTTTTTATCATGCTGACCCTGCTTTTTAATTTTTCTTGACTTTCATCAGTTCTCAGAGATCACTCTACACACTTATAAACAGGAAATTGAAGTTTTTAATATAATTAATTTTTTTGACATCTAAGTTGAATTCATGTCATTATTTTAAAAATTACACTCCTGATCTAAAGCAGTGTTTCCCAAACTTAGGACTTCGGTGTACCCTTTCTAAATTTTTCGTAACGTTACGTACCACTAATTAAAAAATTTATGCATTTTTATCTATAAAAAAATTGCTCATAAGTGAAAAATCACAACTGATTGCTGACACCACTAATTATTAACTGGTAACTGCAAAAAATAGCCAATAGAAAAATACGTAATCGTAAATTTTCATGGCTAGCTTTGCTTTTAAATAAAAAATTTTGAAATTTTCCTTTCTTGTAAGATATTTCGCATAAGAACGCGTACCCCCGCTAAACAGTTCTCGTACCCCTGGGGGTACGAGTACCGCACTTTGGGAAACACTGATCTAAAGGATCATTGACTGACACATTTGTAAATATAAATTAAAATAATTCATATGAATAGTATATTCTAGGACTAGGAAAAATAGATTCAAGATTTAGCAAATGTAAAGAAAAAATTATAATATTGCTTACAAATATGGATAAGTTAATTATTATGCAGTTTTTCTAGCTTTTTGAGGAAGTGAAATTGTCTATAAAAACAGAAATAAACTAAAAGTTGATAGATTATTCTAATTAGAAATAAGTGCCAAAGATGAAAGGCAGGCATTAGTCATCATTGATCCCAATTTCAAATCTTTTACCAATTTCACTTTTGATACCCATAGTAATTGGAAGGACTGTAAGAAAAATTGTTAAAGCAATCACAAAATTTGGCATAGAATCAGTAAAATTGTTTTTGTACTGTAAAGATGTTTGTTTCACTATAGTATTCACTGTCCTTCTTGGAACTAGAAACCTTGATTAATTGACAGTAACTAGATAGCAAGATGAGTAAAGATGACAGTGTCGTCTTTACAACCTTTAGTGGAAAGGTCTGTTAACATTTTTACACATGCCACAATAACTGGCTATAAGATAAATAACCTTTTCTACTAGAAAAAAAAAGAACCAGGTAGTTTATAAAGATGATCTTATGTGTCGTAATAAAGTAACAGAATCGACAAAACCACTTGATAAAGCATTACAATAATTGCAACAAAAAAAAATTATATGATGAAATTAGCATGAATAAAATGCATAAATAAGTAATTATTTTTAAATACATGATTTAAAATTTGCATGTTGTAATGAAAATGGAATTTTAAAAACTACAAGATAATGCCTAAAAAAAGCTGCCAAAAAAATAATTGATAAATAGCTTGGTTTATGATGAAATTAGCAAAAACAAAGCACTGATCAATTAAATGTGCGATTTATAACTCACAAGTGATTCTCAAAACAACATGGAAATTGGTAGTTATAAATGCCAAAAATAACAATCGAAATGTCACTGGGAGCTATGATAAAATCGGTAAAAATAAAAGGTGTCAAAAAGTAATTGCTCAGATTCGCGTATCATAATTTTATATTAAAAATGGTACTTACGTATTAACACAACCAGGCCAAAATTCGCATAAATCGCCAAATTTGGCGTAAGTAGAAAAAATAGAAATCAATTTTTTTTTATAAAACAAAGTATTTTATAAACAAAATTATAAGCATATATTTTAATAACCTTTTAGATTACATATTATTTCGACATCACATAGTGCATTATTTCTCATAACAAATACAGTTTTTTATATTATTTTGTTTTAAAATATAAAATAGCAATTAAACCCTTCTGGTTTCGAATTTGAATAAGTTGCAGAATTATTTTTTCGGTGGAAATCTTTTGGCTATTGCTTTTAGCACTGATTGAAAACCGTATCCCTGTAACAATTCAACAACATCTTTCTCACTCGCAGGCAGATCCCAAATACCCATAGTTAAAGTATTTCACGGCATTTAATCTAACCAGTAAGCAAAATAATTTGTTTACGAAAAACCATGTATAACACGTAGGGTTGCTGTAAGTAGGGTCGCCAAATTTGGCAATTTATGCGAATTTCGGCCTGGTTGCATTAATATGTAAGTACCTTAAAAATAGTGGGTTATTAAAAACTAGGCTGAATTTTGTAGCAATAACAGTTGAAAACGCTATCGGGAAATGCTTCAAAATGTGATGACTCAAATGAGCAATTCAAAATTGTAAAAAGTTGTTTTATTATTTAACGAAAAAAAGAAAAAAAAAACTTTTGGAAGTTTTAGCGGTTGTGCACCTCTGTCTTAAAAATTCCATTCATTAATTTATCTATAAAAATTATTATTAAATAAAATATTGTACATTAAGATTACTTTAATAAATGTATTGTTAAAATATTTTTTTTTATACCCATTCATTTTAATAACTCAGTGCCTGCCGTTTATTAAAAATTACATTAGCTTGATTTGATTTGATGCAGCGGCTGATTTCTATGATATTGGATACAAATGCAACACCTAGGGTACAATAGTTTATTTCAGAATTCACAGAATTTTCTATTCAAAGTTGTTTGAGAGTTCGTAAAAGTTTTTGTAACTTTTAATATTACAATAAGTGCTAAAAATAAAGGTGAATATATTTCAAATTTATCCTTCATATATACTATGTTAAGACACGCCTTCACATTTGTATTTCAAATATCGGATTCTTTTTAATGATGCAATGTAAATATTAGTTTTCAAAAACCCAGCTAAAACGCTTTGTACAACTAAGTAAAGAACTAATAAGTCTCTAGGTGAATAATAATAATAGATTAAAGCAAATATTCTACCAATTAAGACATACCTATTAAAAATAATTTACGATGGAATAATTACGAATGGAATATGGACGAAAAATTAAAACGCATCAGTTGCTATTTGTCTGCTCTTGTTTATTTTGCTTTGGTTTTGATGTCAGTTGATTGATTGATTAAAAGATAAGGAACGTTAATATGCCTATTTCTGTTCAACAAAATTCTCATGAATTCAGCATTTATATTTTCAACTGAGCATTCTAGCTGTCTGCAGCCATCGTATCACCGAGAAAACTAACTGAAAACTTGATTGGACCGTTTCTATTAGAAAATATATTTTACCAATTAGGTTGTCCCGCAGTGAACTAATCGTTAAGGCACGGTTCCCAGCAGATCATCGAAGTCAAGCATCACTGGCTGCGGTCAGTGTGCGGGTGGGTGACCACTTGGATCAGTCTGCGTAGGAAGCGAGGGTGTGCGGTATTGGTCCTCGTTAAACTGTGCTACCGTAAAGTGCTCGACTTAGCGTACAGGTCGTCGGGCTACCGAAGCGGGGGTGCCATCCCCTCTGCAGAGGATCAAAATTGTGATGGCATGTCTTTGGATCATCCTCAGGGATGTTTCCCAGTCCGTCGCCAATAGCCCATTGTGCAGCTCTAGTGCGACGTAAATGAACAAACAAACAAATTACCAATTAGGTTCTCCTATTTCTTCAGCAGTGTTTAGTTAGGTTAGGTCCTGATGTGGACTGATCATGAAAGCACGGTTCAGAGTAGAGCACCGAAGTCAAGCATCATTGGCAGCGTTCAGTAAGTGGATGAGTGACCACTTTGATCAGCCAGCGTAGGGACAGAGGGTGCGAGGTATTAGTTTTCGTTACACTGTTCTGATGTAAAGTGCTCGACTTCGAGCGCAGGTTGTCGTGCTAGCAAAGCGGAGGAGCAAAATTGTGATGGCATGTCTTTGGGTCATCCTCGGGGTTGTTTCTCATTGCGTTGCTCTAGTGCGATGTAAAAAAATATCTGCCTACCTTGGTTAGGTTAGGTTAGTTATTATTTACGTCGCAGTAGATCTGCTCAATGGGCTATTGACGACGGTCTGGGAAACATGCCTGAGGATGATCCGGAGACATGTCATTGCAATTTTGATCCTCTCCAGAGAGGATGGCTCACCTGCTTTGGTAGCCCGACTGCTTGTGAGCGATAACTTTAGGCTACAACAGTTTAGGGAGGACCGATACCGTGCACTCTCGGTCCCTATGTAGGCTGATCCAAGTAGTCATCCACCCACTGAGCTCAGCCAGAGTATCTTGACTTCGGTGTTCTATAGGGAACCATGTCTTTACGATCAATCCCCTGCGTAACCAGGAGAGCGTGGAATTGCGCGTATACTATTCATGGAAAATGATAACGTAAGAGACCCCACTCCCTGCATTCGGTTCATATTTTTCCAAATGACATTGAGCGACCATACCTTTTTTCTTGAAAAAAAATCACATATCAGGTACTTTTTTTCTTTCGCCGATGATCAAAGATGCAGTACCAGCATGCGGTTTGCTTTGTGACTCGAATTTTAGGGCCTGCTCCAAATTTCTTCTACTTCTAAGAAGTCCACAACGTTCGAATACGTCTTCTTTGGACAGATTCTTTCCCATGTCTATACCAAACTCTTCCTCTCCTCATTTTCTCATTTGTATGGGAATGTACTACGATATTTCCCCCTTCTTTAGCGTTATTTGTATTTAATTCTCAAAAATATTCCCTAAAATTCCCATGACACTTTCTTCAAGAACTATGTTAAATGCAGTTTTGAGATTTATATAGTATTCTAACTTAAGAGTTTTTTTTAATCTATTCGAAAGTCTAGACAGAAACTAACGTATTTTCTTCTCCTATGGCTGTCCACACGCTAAAAGTGAAAGCATATGAATTATTGCAGTAGATAGAGAGTTCTGCTTTGCCCACTTATGGATAGTTGGCCGTGTAAAGCGAAGCGAAGAGGAAGCTGGGGTTAAAATTCATCATGAGATTTCCGTCATTACTGCATCTAATAGATTTTTATGCCTAAGCTTGGAAAAACTCACCCTCTAGTATTATTATTGGTATTCGAAATGGGATACAAGGGGCAAAGAGCAGAATTCTTTATCTATGGCAACACTTAGCATGCTTTCGCCATTCACCTCGTGAAGAGCCATAGGTGAAGGAAACATGTTAGTTTCTGTCTTGATTTTCAAGTAGATTAAAATTTTTAATTTAATATATTTAACTTAAGAAACTATATGGAACTGAAAACTACATTGAACATAGTTCTAAAAAAAGCATCGACGAAATTAAAAAAAATATTTTTGACAAGTAAATACGCAAAATATTAAGAAAGGGAAAAATATCGTAATGCATTCCTGTACAACTGAGAAGAGGAAGATAGAGAAGGGAGAGGTTAAAGACATAGAACCGGACATCTCTCCAGAAAACTCTTATGAATGGTGAAACTAAGCCGAAATTTAAACAGAAATCACAGTAATAAAACTTCGTAGAATATTAAGCCTGTTCATAAACCACCTTGTAAGTATAACATGCAGATACTTGGGAAGGGGTGAAGTTTTTTTTTAATTTCTTTCTGTTTTAGGAAGCTTGTTATTGTTTACATTCAGCCAACCATCCATAGCACACTTCGATTACCACTCGTCTAAAAGTTAACGGAAGTTAATCTTTTAACTGTTGCTTTTTCGATTCATGCAATTCATAATTTTCACCTGATGTCATTTTTCTGTATTTAATAATTTTATCAATAAGGGCATCAGCGTACTCAAAAAACTAAATTACTGGTAGCGACATTTCAGAAAAGTCATTTGAAAATTCATCTCTTTTCCTTTTTAATAAAATCATTTCTGTTAGAGATTCCTTGAGAGGTATCTCTGTTCCAAGAATATAAATTTGGAAAGGTAAAGCAGTTAGTTTTCAGATATTCTTATCAAAATTTTATTACCAGTTTTTTTTTAGTTTCTTGAGGAAGCTGCTCAACTTATTTATCAATGTTTTAAATGGATGGTATTTTCTACACTGGGGAGGAGCACTACAGGCTCTTTACTGCCCATAATTGCGGGTTACTTTTTCCGGTGTATTTTGATGTCATTTGGCTTACAATGTTTTCATTGTACTTTGAGACTCTCTTGAGTAGTATTTTTTGTACACATAGTATTTGTTACCTAATTTATTATTTGAGTTTATGATGAGTTCTAAATCTGAAACTCGAAGTGGCTCTTGTTGTGTAGCTTAACATTTGAAGAAATTTTTTTTTATAACACTTATAAACTTGTTAACAATATACCAACTTCGAAATTTAAACCTAAATGATAATTTGTAAAATGAAGCTCGAACAATATGCTAACTCGAACAATATGCTAACTCAAACTTCGCAGCTCGAACAATATGCTAACACTAAGGTATGATGATGCACGGCTTGCAACAAGAACAAACAGTAAAAAAGTAAAAAGAGGCCAAATCAGAACTGTCAAAAAAGAGTTTTTTCTTAATCTTGCAACCATGTTATCTTTTTTAAGAATATATCTATAAATAACTAAAATAAATGTTCATTTCAAACTCACCAAAATGACTTAATATCATTAATATCTAATGGAATATTGACGATCGAAATGTGCTATAGGTGGAGTGGAGCAGAACTCTCTACCTATGACAACACTTTACATGCTTTCCCCATTAGCGTGATGAGAGTCATAGGAGAAGGAAGGACGTTATTTTCTACTTTGATTTTCAAATAGATTAAAAACTTTTAAGTTACGAAACTATATGGATCTGAAAACTACATTTAGCATAATTCTTAAGAAAAGAGTCGCGGAAATTTTGAAAAAATATTTTTGCCAATTAAATTCAAAAAAATTAAGAAAGGGGAAAATATCGTTGAACATTCCTATACAACTGATGAAAGGAGAAGGGGGAAGGAGGAGGAGGATCAATACATGGAACCGGTCATCTCACCAGATGGCGTATTCGAGCATCGCGATTGCAAATAGCCGATTTGAGTTCAGAAATTACATAAATTTATATCTTTTATTAAAAATAAAATTATCTGTTTGAAAATATCGTCACGCAGAATAAGCAGTTGCAAACTTTCTAACCTGAAATTGAGCTGGTCAAGAGCTCGAGATTGCTATTGTTTACATTGATATTGAAAACACCCCGTTCATATTTCGTTTAGAAAATTAATCGATCGTAATACTCGAATTTGCCATCAGGTGAAAAGACCGATTCCGTGTCTTAACCCTCCTTCTTTCCCTCTCTTAGCTATATAAGAGAATCTTCTACGATATTTTCCTCTTCCATAATATTTTTTATATTTAAATGTTAATAAATGCTAAAATATTTTCTAAAATTTCTACGGCGTTTTTTCTTAGAACTATGTTTAATACAGTTTACAGTTCAACATAGTTTCCTAAGTTAAAAGTTTCTAATATATTTGAAAATCAAGGCAGAAACTAACGTGCTTCCTTCTCCTATGACTATCCACGCGCTAATGGTGAAAAGATGCGAAATGTTGCCATAGGCAGAGAGTTCTACTCTGAGCCACCTGTAGCCTATTTTAATCGCCAATAAAAAAGGTATAATATTAAAGAATAATAAAATACATTTCATTATTTTTACGAACATGGAGATCATTCCTAATGAATGTGTTTTGACACTTTTTTTAAAAAATGCACCAATCAAATTCTCAATTTCTAGATATATGTTATATAATTTTTTTAATATTTTGATGAAGGAAAGAGAATCTCCACTCAAACGATAAAAACCGATTAAGCTTTTCAATTGGTTTTCGAACGGCATCGTCAGATCAGTTTGGAGTGGGCTGCAAAAGTCCCATGTCAGTGAAATTACCCATTCTCATTGTCTGAGAGAAAATAACGAGTGCGATTTTGGAACATGGGAGCGCGAAACTGGTCCGTAAGTGATCCCGTGTTGTAAGTATCAGAGCCACTTTACTATATACCTAGATACTACATTTATAACTGTAACAGCAACCCTTTGAAAGTAAAAGGGTGAATGTGGAATTAATTAAAAAATAAAGTAAGTAAGAGTTTGTAGTATTCGTATTCAAAAATATGAAAGTACTGACTTTATGTTCGGTTAAACAGAATGAATAGCATGCATTTCAGAAGTAAAAGAACAACCAAAATAATGACAATCATTAAATATTTTAAAACATTTATTTCAAAATACAAATGATATTTTCTGTATGTTCCTATGTTTCAAAATAAATTATTGTGAGTTCATAACTTAATCACAAAAGTATTGTTGAATTTGATAAATATTACATATAGTTTCGGAAAATATAATATAATGTAAAAATGTTTTTTGCAGCGTTGCCGAACTGAAATATTAGAAATGTTCATAATTATTTTTCGAACATTTTGAAAAGGGGTTCTTTTGAAATGTTTCGATTGGAATGAAATAATTACAGGCACAACATAATTTTTAAAACACATGGAATTTAGATAATATTATGTGTGAGATTACTACTTACAGTGTGCATAAAACAAACCACGTTTTGAAGCAAGACTGTATATCAATGATATTTCAAGCAAATTTTTAAAATTTCATATTGTAGAAATGTCAACCTTTGTTATGGAAGAAATTGTTATAAAGTTTTGAGTTGATTAAATTATAAAATGAGAGGACGCATTCTTATTTTATAATCACAACGGAAAATTGTTTAGTATAATATCTAAGGAACGCTGTTATTTTTTATGTTTTTTTTTCTTTAAGGAAACAAATTAAAAGATAGCATCACAAACGGTTGAAAAAAGTTTTTTGAACATTATGTCTTGTTTAAAAAATAGTTTTTTTCACCTTTATTAAATAAATTGTGTAATATTTAATACTTCATAAGAATACAGACTTTTATAAGTTTTTATGCTTTAAGTTAAAACTGAATACTATTATGAAATAAATTTTGCTACTTAAAAAAAGAAAATGAATTTCAAAAATAGCTTTATTATTATTATTATTTTTAAATTGAGGTCAAATTGAAGAAAAAAAAGTTGCTGAGATTTGTTGACTGATATTAAATTATAGCACATTGAATATTATGATGAACTATTAAAATAGCAGTCAGGTATATAAAATAATACAAAAATTTTTTTTAAAATTGTATATTATTTAAATAATTTAAAAAAAAAAGTTAATTAGAATTTTTTTCTCCATGAATAATCTAAAAAGATTACGGATCTGAAATTACAAAGATTGAAAAAAAAATCTGCTAACAACACAATTTTAACAATTAGAAAAAATAATAAATAAACACATTTTGATGTTTCTTAATTAATACCATTTAAACTTTTCTTTACTAAAAAAAAGCTAAATACTGCAGGTACTGCAATATTTAGCTTCCGCGATTTAGCTTTGGCAAAAGATCTAGTATCATTTAAAGCTTCATTAACTTTTCCATGTCATTCTTTTAAAATCACTAACTGTTTATTTAGAGAAAGTAATTAGTTAATAGTATCAATATTTCTGACTAATTTAATATTCTATAAAATGTTTTTCAACAGGCACAGAACATAACTTTATAACATTGAGTTTAAGACACAAAAATATTGAAATCCAGACGTATAACCGCTTATTCAAACCATTATAAGACTCATATTGGTTGAAAAATAAAGCCGATTGGACTCAATTAAAAGTAAAGCATAGAGAATCCAATAACATTTTGCGTACAAGCGTGACTACTTGGTCAAAATTTATTATACTGGGAATAGGTAAGCTGCAGAGCTAAGGTAAGTCTTAGGATGGTTTGAAACCTTTGGTATGCTGGAAATTTTTTTTAAGGATGCTGTAAGTAAGGGATCTATGTGCAGTCTACTTTGAATGGGCTACCGGGGATATGATCAGTTCCGTATTTGACTATAAGAACGTGCTCTCCTCTATCTTTAATCATGTACGTGATGTTGTAAATATTTCGACCTGTGTGTTTCACATGAAGTTCATCACAAGGTCCTTTAGGTCCATACAAGGCTACAAAAAGAATATTTTGACCTGTGGAGAGAAAAATAATTTGGTTAATAAGGCACATTTAATCAAGATTTGCTCGCTATAAAACAATCACCATAATCTGGCACCTAGAATAATTTGGTTAGTGAAAAAAGTTAAAAATGTTAAGTTTAATTCATATTTTATTCTGATTTAAATAGAAATAATATAAAACTTCTTCTTGAGTACTACAGCCTTTTATAGGTTAAAGCTGCCTTTTCAAAAATTTTTCAAATTGACCGTTATTAAACTATGTAAGTGACAATAGGAAGGGAGGTGGTAGAACACTGAGATAATTTAGGTTCATAGGATTTGTGTTTACATAGCAACATCATGGACTTATTAAAGTTATTAAACTACGTAAGTGACAAAAAGGAGGGAGGTGGTAGAATGCTGCGATAATTTAGGTTCATAGGATTTGTGTTTATTTGGCAACATCATGGACTTATCAAAGTTATTAAACTATGTAAGTGACAAAAGGGAGGGAGGCGGTAGAACGCTGCGATAATTTAGGTTCATAGGATTTGTGTTTTCTTGGCAACATCATGGACTTATCAAAGTTATTAAACTATGTAAGTGACAAAAGGGAGGGGGGTGGTAGAACACTGAGATAATTTAGGTTCATAGGATTTGGTGCTTACATGGCAAGATCATGGGCTTATCAAAGTATGTGTTATATAAAAACATATGCCACATCATGTGTTAGGCTACTGTTAGACGGTGTTTAAACCTCCAAAAAATAACGCTAATATCAGGAATATGTTACTTGCAAGTGGATTCGTTCTTTTGACGTGGTATGTAAGATAATATTAGAAACCATTGTTTTTCAAAGTAATAATTAAAGTGTTGAAGTTAGTAGATTCAATAAATACGTTGTAATTAATATATACCTGCATCTTGGCAGTTGATCTGAAAGGAATTCATTTTATGGGTTATAGCTTTCTTGAGTCCTGGCCCTTTGCTGATAACTTTTGCGGGATCAGAGCGGAACCTTGGTAGGTGATCACCTTTATGCTTGGATTGTTTAGCAACAGTTTCTAAGACTACAGATGACGTTTCTTTAGTACCAGGTTCTGCAACTGCCGTTCCTGAAGAAGAAAGTTTATCAAATAAATTTATTTACTTCTTTTTTTAATGTTAAATATAATATTTATTACGATACAATGGTAAATTATGTAATTTTAACTGATACTTTTATGCAAAAAAATCGTTACAAAATTACAAATTTTGTGTTAGTGTTCTTTCTGCAGTGATATGAAAATACTCATATTTTTTAAGTGATAAGCGTACATTTAATTACTTAAACTATGTGACTAATCATATCGATTCAAACGTCAATAAAATGAAAACACTTAGCACTAGGCTATGTGATTTTTTACCGTTTAACCACGACACGTTTTTCTTTGTCTTTTATCGATTCCTTCAAAATGAATGAAAATTATGCCACGTAATCGTTATCGTTAATATATATATATATATATAACTACAAAT